CATCTTAAAGATATATAAATTATGGACATTTTCCAATCGTCTAGTTGAACAGATATATCAGAAAAAAGAATTATATATAAATTGTAAATAATTAATTTGAGGCAAAAAGTATTGGCATATGTGTTTTTTTAATATAAAAAATTTAAGAAGGTTATTATTATTCGTTGAAAGTTTTCACAACTCATTAAGAGTATAAAACCAAAAGAAGATTATCATTCAATGATGACATGTGGATTTCATTTAAATACTTTGAAAGTTTTGCAAGTGGGATGGCGCAGGTTAGTACGAGACAAAAGTTATCTTCTTTAGAAAGAGATTTGATTTTGAACATTCTGGTTAATTTGTGAGATTTTTAAATCTCATTGATGAATATAATATATATATATTGCCCATTTCTTTTAAGTTTTTTTATTTGGGGACCATGCATGCATGGACCCTTTCTTTTCAAGTAATTCCACCTCAACAGTCAACAGCACGCGTTGAAAAAAAAAATTAGCCAACCAAATTTGATCTGAGAATGCCACGTTGACTGGGGATTAATATGAAAAGAATGTTTCAGAAACTATATATGGTCTCACAGCATGAGTTGATTTTGGCGCGCGAACACACACATATTACATATATCTATGTGTTTGTGACGTCTGTGTGTGTATATATGTATATATATATATATATATAGAGAGAGAGAGAGAGAGAGAGAGAGGATTACCCAAGTAATGGTTGCACAGTATAGCACATTGGGATGAAATGGACTGCCTTTGAGAAGGGAACAAGAAAACATTGCATCACATGATGAATCTTTGTTTGGTTTTTCTTTTTCCATTACTATTTTATTTTATTTTTTTAATTTAAACAAATAAGAAAAACACTGTAACACTGTTTCTTATTTGAGGAAAGGACAAGTAGGCCACCTAGGATGTTTCGAAACCTTAATCTTTTGTCAACCAAAAAATAATTCAGCTATTTTACCGAAATTCATTTCACTGTAGATCTAGGACTTGACAATTTTTTATTTTTATTTTTTGACAAAAACTTTTTGTTACATTCTTTCCAAACATAATAGAAAAGAAAATATGGGATTCAGACATAAATAAAATTTTATATTTAGGATCACATTTGAGATTTGGAAAAATTACACACTTGTAGATTATTACTCTCACCTCTCTTGAATCTGTTCACTAGACATTGAAAAGTGACTTTGAGTGTAAAAGTCATTAATACTCTTGTATTATTATAATTTATTGTATTATATTGCGTTTTTTACAAGGGAAATGCAAAATTATTATTGGTCAACAGGTTTGTCGAGAAAAAAATATTAGGGGTGTCGTTGAGCACATGTTCCAAATATCAGGGAGGTCAAAGTAATAAGTGTTGAATGATCTACATGTATATAATTTGCCCAAACCTCAAAAGAGGTTAATTGTAACGACCCGCTCCACCACATGGTATGATATTGTCCGCTTTGGGCCTGAGTCCTCACGGTTTTGCTCTTGGGCTTTATCTCAAAAGGCCTCATACCAATTGGAGATGATGCAGTTACATATAAGCACTTCACCTTTCCTCTACCCAGGCGATATGGGACTGTGCACCCGTAACTCGCCAGTGTGGTAGCCTGTCAGTGTCTCTGGCACCCGCCCACGGCACACCCACCCACAAGGTCATCACAATCCACCCCCCTTGGAGGCCCGACGTCCCCGTCGGCACACTTCCGGCTGGGTCAGGACCTGATACCATTTGTAACGACCCGCTCTACCACATGGTATGATATTGTCCGCTTTGGGCCTGAGCCCTCACGGTTTTGCTCTTGGGCTTTACCCCAAAAGGCCTCATACCAATTGGAGATGATGCAGTTACATATAAGCACTTCACCTTTCCTCTACCCAGGCGATGTGGGACTGTGCACCCGTAGCTCGCCAGTGTGGTAGCATGTCAGTGTCTCTCGCACCCGCCCACGGCACACCCGCCCACAAGGTCATCACAATAACTGTCACACCCTAAATTTTAATACAAGAACTACTTGTCCTGCATAAAAAATCTAAGGTATAACTTCCATCAATTCTCAACATACATCTTCCATAATAGAACTACAATGAATCCCGTCATTCAACTTAACAAACATGAGAGTCTGACAAATTTTATACAAATCCATAAATAGAGGTGCAATTCCCTCTAGTAAAACAAAACATCTATGACCACTGAATCAACTCAATAAAGTTTCATAAAACATTAACTTTATTACAATAATCAGAATAAAGGAAAAACCGAGCTAAAATAAATCAATGCGCAACGAGCTAAAATCCGTTCCCATCAGGTAATCCCATCACGTTCCTACTCAACGTGTACCTGAAATGTGATAATGGGGTGAGCTCACAAGCTCAGCAATAAATGCTAAACACAATCATCGTTCAGCAAATTAACCTTACCTTATATTCCTGTATATATAAGCAACTCAAATAAGTTCATTATTCAAATGTGTATAACCCAGTTAGTTATAAACTTAATAAATAACCATCTTTTATTTTTTAATAAATCGGCATATCTTACATGAGCCCCGGGCTCCCGTCCAATAAAATGGTGTGAATCGTATAGTCCCTGACTACCAAAAACACACGTGTGGCTGGATTGTACGTCTACTCCCCAGATGATCCCTAATCACGTCCACACAATAAGGGCTCATTAGACCCATGGCCAAAACAAAAGGGTAGTGCACTCCCAAATAGGTAGGTCCCTGACCATACTCAAAAGTCATCATAGAGTCAGTCCCTGACTGCCCTCCGACTAATCCAAACTCATCATTATTATTTATGGTGAATTATGAAATACATTATTAATTAATAATTTAAAATCAATAAGTAATACACCCAAACAAGCTTTTAATTTAAAAACAGAACCCTATAGACCCAACTAGTGAGAGTACAAAATTCTGGACATAGCCTAATATTAGATATGACTCCCTACAAAATTTTAGAAGCTAAGTCTTAATAATATTTCCGTACTCTCCATCTTAGTGCTGAAAATAATTTTTTTTCGGGTTTTAATTTCGTAAAACTACCAAAATGTCATTTAAAAATCTGGATTTCAGCAAAACTAAGTCCATTATACTTAAAACTAATATTCTGGAATTTCAATAATTTTTTTTTTTGAATACTAAAAAAAAAAATACTCTTCTATATTTGTTTTTCAAATTTTAAAATAATTAAATATATTATTCATTTCGGTTGAACCCGGGTATTGCCCCCAACGGACTAGGCTCGGCGAGTAGATTCCAGTGATAACTTTCAATAGTCAAACCGATGTCTCACGGCAACACACTCTCCCTCACTTTCCATTGCCAAGAATGTGCTTCGTAGGAAAGAACCCAAAGTGGGTCTTCACCACCATAATGCATTTGCTTTTCTATCTGTTTTTTCTTTTCCAACCAATATCTAACGGTTCTACCTTCTATTGACCCCACAGTCTACTTTTAAGCTTTCTGTAGTCAATAAAGCTTAAGTTTGAAACATCAAATTGAATACAAGACTTACAACAATAAATTATTTCACTTATTAAAATATTCCACGCTGAACTTTGATTTCTAACTCTCCGTAAATCAAACAATTCGTATAAGTATATTAATATATAATAACACCAAATCAGTTTCCATATATATACACACATATAATATCAAATCAGTCTATTAATCAAACTTACCATGCATATAGCAAGTATAAAAACATGTGAATTACATTTATTCAATATCTATACACACACACACACACACATGCGCATCAAGTAAATGTCCTCCATTTAAACTTATATTCAGTGCTATTAGAACATGTGATAAAGTTTCATGCCATTCTATGCCTAATTTACATCAGATCGATATACCCCAATTCATAAAAGCATGTTATATTGATTCTTGATTAATCGTAATTAGGCAGAGTTTCGTATATATACAAATATATAAAGCAAGATTAACTTGCCTGTTAAATATCGTTAAACCTTTCTCTCTAGCCGATCCTTTGGTCACCGTCTCTTTTTCCGGCTACTGCAGATTGCCAACGAAAAATTAGTAACCCGCTTTCTCTCTTTCTCTCTCGGTAATTTCTTTCTTCTTTTTTTTTTTATAAAAAATAATATCCTCGTACTGATACGATGTAAAATATAAAGGATAAATATAACTGCATTCGAGATAACCTAGGACTCTTATTTAAAGTTTTAAATTTTAAAAGAAAAACTTTATTATCTCTACTCTCACGTTAAAATACTAAATACTAAATAATAAAAAAAAATAATATACGAAATTTTAGGGTTTTACATTAATGTAATTTCACTTTTTTATTTTCTTTTTCTACTATTTCGTTAATTTATTCTATTACCATTACATTTTCAACGCCATTTGATCTATGAAACATGATTTTCTATGTATATATATTACATGACAAGAAATTTTAGATGTTAAATTAGTAGATACAGATCGAGGGTCGAAAGTTGGCACTCTAAAATTCACAAGAAACACTAATCCATTGAACTATCGAAACAATTGCGAAAAAAATCTTCTACTTGAAACCTATTTGTTTGTCATGGCAATTGGACTTGGTATAAATCTTACGGTGGTAATTAAAGATTTGTTAGACCATCTCCAATGCTAAAAGCTATTTTTGGATGCTAACTCTATATTTTGACAGGTGCTACAGTGTCAAAATGATATAGTTTAACAACTCTGTTCCAATTGTGCATTTCATCCAAAATGCTATTTTTTGACACAATAACCCTTTTTTTTTTCAACTACCATCCTCAACTACCATTTTCAACTACCAATTTTCAATAACCAATTTTTTTTTGTGAGTGTTTGTATTTTATTTAGCTTATTTGCCTGATTGAAAATTAAAAAAAAAAAAATATAATTTTCAAATTCAATGTAAAAGATAAGAACGTAAATTATGTAAAAATAAATGGGTAAACTTGTCATTTACGTAATAAGCAAACCCTACAAAAATCATTTCAGCCTCCCCATTCTCCTCCATCTCTATTCTCGTTCTTGACTCTGAACTTGCCCTCTCTCTCTCTCTCTGCGCAACTGCAAACTACAAAATCTACAACAATCAGAAGCTCTTTCTGCAACTGCTAACTTGTATGTATGGGTTTTGTTTTAATTTTTTTTCTAAATCAACTAATCAGGGTCTGTAATTCTTGTTTTGCAAACTAAATCCTATTTGGTGAAATTTTTTATGATCTTTTTTAAATATATGCTTAGAATACAATGCCTTTGAATCTGTTTCTTGTTCCAGCATAGGAGTAACACATGAATGGTTACATACTGCATATGCCTGCTCATCATATTTTTTGGAACTGCTGACTTGAAATGGAAATGTCATTAAAATTCAGCTAAAAACATGGTCGGAATTATTAAATTCCTTCTGCACCAGTGGGAAGCTCGAGCTGGAACTCATGTACAAAATTCAGGTCCAATTCTACGAGGATGCTAAGCTAATGAAGTTGTTCCCTGGAGTTGTGAGATCGCTCTATGACCAGGATGTGCTTTCGGAAGATACCATTCTTCACTGGTTCCGTAAAGGAACTAATACTAAGGGCAGGTAGGTGACTGTAAAAGTTTTAGATAATATATATTTTTTGTAACGTGTTTATCTATCTTTAAGAATTTAATGACGCGTACCTTGTGGGAGTCTCGATACAACTAGTTGTAACATTTGTGGTTTCATGTCGGAGGATATGAAAATTAGAATGTCCTTTGCACATGCCATTTGAAACGCCCATTTGCCTGTCCAGCCACCAAAATTATTTCCCGGTTTTGTTGTGTGCTTGAACTGAATTTTCTGCTCTGTTTTAACTTTCGTGATTTCCGTTGAAACTTAATTTCTAATTTACTGTTTTGAAATGGTGCAGGCAAACCTTTGTGAAGGCTTTGGAGCCCTTTGTAAAATGGCTGGAGGAGGCAGAGGAAGAGGAATAAGTGTGTGGGTGGTGATACTGTTGTAATGGACCATTTTCTAAATTTTTAAACGACCGTGTTCTATTTTTTCGTGTGCTTATGGCGAATGTTTAATGGTTTATTACTTTCAATAATGTAGCCACTTTCTACTCTCTCTCTCTCTCTCACGCACGCACGCAGCTTGGATCTGATTAGGTGTGTTCGGCTGCATGGAATTGGAGTTTTGGTTCAATTTTCCTAGTTGTTTTTCCCAAATTTCAATTCAATGCAACCGAATACCCTGAGTGTATTTTGAAAAAATATCTCAAGAAGTAACCCGATATTGTGAGGTAAGCTAAAATTATTATGCCTAAGAATGCAGAGTAAGTATTCATGGGCCTCAGTGAAAGTTGTCTGCTCTATTTAGTAAACGTGTTGTATTTGTGTTAGCTTTATATAAGAAAATATCTTTATTTTGACACGCTACAAATATGACATGACATGATATGACATACTAATTTTTTTCTTCCATTGAATTTATCTCCTTGTTTGGTGGTTAAGTTGAATGGAATAAATAATAGAAAAAGGATGAATGGGTGACGCGTTTGTTTTATTTATATTTTCTTACCAATATACCCTAATTATATATTGTTTTGTTGTTTATGTGTGAGGAATTTTAATAAGGTTTAACCAACGGGCAATGGCTCAGAGGTAATAAACTCTTACTTCTCATAAGAGGTCAGGGTTCAAGCATTAGGTATGAGTGTGAGTACCAATAAGAAAGAAAAAAAAAATAGTAAGGTTTAACTAAGTGATTTGGAAATAAATTGAAAGTTAAAATTATATTTGTAAGGTAATTATTTTTTCTATCCTGTCCTATTTTGGACATAAGAAAAAACATGGGATACCAGAGCCTTTTCCATCCTTCCAGCCAAGCACAAAGAAAGCTTCTTACTTCTTTCCTGAGTCCTTCTTTCCAGCCAAACACAAAGAAAGCTTCTTCCTTCTTTCTGAATCCTTTCTTCTAAGCAAACACAGCATAAATTTATTAGTCTCTCATGATGTGTTTGTGAGTAAGTGGTTTGATCATGTGAGAGAATATTTGTCTTTCTATTAGTAAATTGGATGTATATAACATTCCCATTAGATTTAAATTTAATTAAAATAACAAGGACGAATATTCTGACAATTTTGCTCCCTCCCAAGGGAGTGAGCTCGTGAGACAGTTCGATTAATATATGCTATATAATAGACGATATCTAATACATTTTTTTTTTGAGGAAAATATCTAATACTAATAATACTCATTTCTTAACTCATGAAAAGGAATGTCTGTTACACATTTTGGCTAAAATATTTTTCTGGAAAATGATTTTCTTTTTTCAGGTAAAATATATATATATATATATATATATATATATATATATATATTGTTTTTACAGTGTTCGGTAAAAGTGTAGGTTGAGGGTGGGGTCGATGGACGCGAAACGTATAAAATAAATTCCTGAAATTTAATGAGTAAATTATTTTTGTTAAGTTTTAATATTTTTTTCTTTATAAATATTATATGACAACCAAACACCAGAAAAAAAAATATATATTTGTTAAAAAATATTTTACATCCAAACAAACGAGCCTTAATTTTATTTTACAACACCATATTCCTTATTTGAAGCAAAAATTTGTTGGCCTTGGTCATGTTTTTTCATATACATTATTTCTTGATAAGCAATGATAGAGATGATTAGTCTTGCTATTCCAAAAAAAGCTTTGTGGTGGTGATGATTTTTACTTTTTTGTATAGCAAATAGAACATTTTTTTTTCAAGCTTGATTCATGGGATGGTGATTAAAGACAAATAATTGACACCCAACTCAATTTAATAAAGTATTTTTTCAATTATTTGAGTGAATTGTACCAATCTTTTTCGGCATTCAATTTAACAATTTTAATCAAATCACGTGTTATTGTGACTTTCGTAACTATACCTCAACCTATATATAATTAAATATCCCATGAATTTCAATAAGTTCATGTTAAATCTTTTGATATTAGAAATTAAAAAGATATCATAGTTGTAATTTAATGGTATTTTCTTTAACTTATAGATTAAAGATCAAATAATTTCATTTCATTTAAAAAAAATAATAATAATAAATAAAATAAAATAAAATAAAGTGACACTATTAAATGACTTGAAATAAAGCATCTCCCATGTGATCAAATTTTCAATATGTAATGGGCTACAGCTGGCCTAAAAACATGAATACTATGGATTCAATCAAATCAATGTTTTAACTCTCTTTCAGAGGACATTAGTGAGTGATAGACATATATCATGTGTGTGTGTATATATCACCAACATAATATAATACCATATATATCAAACAAGGCAATGGCCAATTTGTGATTTTTGAGCCGGTTGAAAGCTAATGATAACAACGTGGACCACGCGAGAAAATTCCAACAAGGTGGTCCTTTGTGGAATGGCAACATAATGACACATTTTGATTTCTCGATTGTAAATTACTCCGTCAATATATTTTTTTTAACTTGTTTCGGGCATAGTCGCTATAGCAAAAATTAGAGAGGTAATTTTTCAAAATCCCGCTTTCAAATCAAGCTCTTCACTTAAATAGTGTGTGTTGTAAGATCGATATAATATATATATATATATATATATATATATATATATATATATATATTTTAAAAGTTAATATTAAAAGTCAATAAACATTATAAACCTTTTAACAACATTCTTGCTCTAATCCACTTCGGATATAGCCCAGCGGTTTACTGCTCGCTGAACTTTAAAGTTTAGCAAGCTCAAGGTATAGGGTTCGAATCCCGCTGAGTGTTCTTTGTGACTAACCTCCGCTATCCTTGCAGTGACTTACCCTACCCGGGTGGGGAGGCATCCTTCCGGATTTTCTGGGATTAGTCGAATTGTTGAAGTACCCTAAGGGTTCATGCCATCCCGGACACCCTGAGTTAATAAATAAAAATAAAAAAAGCATTCTTGCTCCAAAAGGTTAAAGAGCACAATAATTATTTATTATGGGATAAAAATCGAATCAAAAGCATCGGCAAATCCACGGGGGCTTGAGTGTGCTCAGGCTCACCAAAAAAAAAAATAAATAAATAAATTTACTATACCTAATTTTAGCACAGTCCAAAAAATTATATATATATATATATATATATATATATAAAACTAATATTAGCCTATCCTATTGACAATTTCTGAATTCGTCCTTGAATAAAGAGGACACGGAGAGGAGATTTTGTGGAGAGAGGAAGAACATTTCCATTGTTTAGCGACACCATTGAATATATTTATATGAACCATTTGGGTCTCTATTAATGGAATAATGTTGAGAAGACTATTAACCTAACATTTTACAAAAATAATTGTCACTTTTTGCGATGTACTAGGTGTCTTTTGGTTTACTCAATAAGGAAGGTTTGTTTATGTCTATGAAGCACGGATACTCCTTTTAGGGTCCCGTATCAGTGTTGGACACTTTTCGGACACGGACACGCGTGTCAGACATTTCTGTGAAGTGTCCAAAAATTATTTTTTATTGGACACGAGGTGGACACGGCTCGGACACGGCAGGGTATATTTTGTAATTTTTTTAAAGATAAAGGGGGTACCTAATGTAATTTTTTAGAAGTTTAAAAGTAAAATTTTGAAAAAATAAAATAACAACTACAGAAAACAGAGTACTACATAGTAAATTTATTTTCTCTCACTTCCTCTTTCAGTCTCTCATATTCTTTAATTATCTCTGTACAGGAACAAAACATTTTTTTTTATAAAAAACGTTACGTGAACAAGACTTTGTGAAAGATTGAAAGTATTTATATTTATTCATGTACATATTTGGCCTATTATAACTATGTCTCTTCTGCATATCTTCGTTTGGAATTTGAATCAACTTTATTTTTCATTTATTTTCTGTTTTGTCTTGTCTATGTTTTTCTTATAACAAAGATGAAATTATTGAAATTGGTCCTGTAATTTGTTGTTGTTTTATTTGTAATTTTGTATTTATATATACCTATTTGTTATTAGGAAAATGAATGTGCAAGGTTCTAGTAATTATATTTTGAATATATAATTATATATATATATATATATATATATATATATATATATATATATTATTTTATAGGCGTATCCCCGCCGTGTCCGTGTCCTATTTTTTTGAAATTTGCCGTGTCGCCGTATTAATGTCGTGTCGTACCCGTATCCGTGCTTCATAGGTTCATGTCAAATAATTGGCATGTATAAAAAGTTGGTTAAATTATATTTGCCTCCCCTCTAGTTTGGGTTTGTTGCTCTCGTATCCTTTTATAACATTCGCAATAATCAATGCCTATATGGAAAATTTTGAAGATTTATATGACGAAAATATCCTTCAAATGTTTGTAAAGGCAATTTTGTTATATTTATATAATAATAAAGATATAAGGGAAATTTCACATGATCCATTAACTAACTTTAACGCCTTTCAACTGTTTGATAAAATTGAAAATTAAGTACTGAGAATTTTAAGAACTGAATTTTAAGTGCTAATGAAAAACAAATATTTTTTTATATCTTTTTGAATTTTTCAGCGTTCAACATTTAGTGTTAAGTGATGTCTCTATCACTTAAAATTTTATCTCATTTTAAGTGGCGTTTACCGTTTTTAATTGTATTCAAATTGTGTTATCAAACATGCTTAATTAAATAAGGACTAAATTGAATTATCAAACACTACATTAAAAGGGGTAACTGTAACATGCCAAAACATATGGAAGGCAAGTGTAAAAAACACAAGCTAGAGGGGAAGAAAGTGTCATTTACCCTAAAACTTTTTGGTATCTTTTCCACCAACTTAGCATACATGTTTACATTCACATTTTGCGGAACATGGAATCCTCTACCTTCAATTTTGAAACGTGGAAGAGTATCACTAAGTTTTGATAGTGTTATAATATATAGAAACTTAAAAAGGAAATAAATTATAATTAAATAATTATTAAATAATTTTGAATCATAGTCCAATCAAAACTCTTCAAATAAAAAAATGTGAACCTATCACAATTTAAGAAGACATTACAAAGAAAGTTAGAATTTATTTACCGCATATGATACTGTGGAATCTAGTAAAAAAATTTACTCAT